GCAAACAGGACGAAACAAGCCAAAACCCGAAAAGGTTGAATCCATAAGATCGCTGCAAGCGTTACCTTCGCTGTCGTCGTTGCGATCATGACAGAAAAAGTTGACCGATCTCACTATACGGTGACTTGGTTTTTCAGAATACATGTAAATAATAAGTAATTTGTCCATCAATTGTATTCACACATCGTAATTAATTTCAAAACTTCATTTACAGCAAGTTAAAAGGCTTAGCTTCACAATGTACATGGTAATTATTAGCATTTAAGCAACTTAATTAACAAAGATGATAATAAATGACAAAGTTCACAGCGGTGATCCTACAATTTTTTTAACGACATGAGAGATCATCTTAGTTACGTATAAGCACTTTCAGGCAGTTGCAAAAATAAAGCCTGGAAAAAATTCAGGTTTGAGTGAGTTTGCAACTCATAACCTCTGCGATACCGGTGCAGTGCTCTACCAACTGAGCTATCACGCCAACTACAGTGGGAGCTGATCTTGTTGAGACTCCACTCTAACTTACCAAGTTTGATAACTCATAAATCTTTCAGCCATATAAAAGTAAAAAGTCTGAACTATCATAATCAGATCAGTTTCGCACTTCTGATCTATCGAAACGCTGTCAAAAATGTTCGTGCACACCAAACTATATACTACTATTTTCGGAAGATCTCTGAATGATAGAACTTTAGGTGGCGTTGATAAACAATTTACCATAGAATTTAGAATTTTGTCTTTCGATACACAATTCACCATAGAATTTCGAATTTTGTCGTTTCGAAACAATAAAATGGGTTTACTTTATGTGGAACCAATGAATTGATTTCCAAAGGAATATAGTTTTCTCAGATGCATGAGTAACACTCATCGGGAAATACTATGTTCACCTTACAGTGCTACTGAAAAACATGAACACGATTATTCAAGAGAACAGTGACCAAAACATGTCCATCATTTGACACGGCGACATAAGTAGGAGCCCCGCCTTCCTCAGAGAAATGTTCTTCTATCTTAGTGACAAACGTTCCGTCCGATCTGAAAATTTGCAGTCTGCTGTTTGCGACATCGCAGACGATTAGATTTTTAAACTTGTCGATTGCAAGTCCAACAGGACCATCTAACTGTCCCTCACCAGACCCCTGACCGCCAATATTGTAAAGGAACTTTCCTTCCTTGCTAAACACCTTAATGCAATTGGCCTTAGCATCAGAGACA